AACAGGTATGCTGATGCACGTTTCGATTCTCGAAGCAGATATCCATCACAGACAATCCGTTATTTGCACACAAGTGCAAGAACTTGGTGCCATTACTATTGGGGTCGCCAGGAGTTTATTTTCGAATCACTCCATTTCACTTTTCAGTGCTTGCTCCAATTGCGCATTGAAATCGCACATTAGAATGATTTTGCAGTCGGTACTTCATACAGAGAACCTTCCTTCTACGACCTCCAGAAATAACGCATATTCTCTGCCTGAATTGGGCGCAGAGACCTGTAACATGTTCAAAGCTTCAGCTTGTTGTAACTTCAGCTGACAGGCTTTCATTTAATGATTCTGTCCGCCAGGGTGGGCTTTACCAAAGCACTAGCACCGGCTTGAGAGCGTTCGGTATAGTCGACACGTGGGTAGAATAGCTTTCACCCGCAGAGGTTCGGAACTCAAGAGTCTTAGGGTTCCGTTGACGAGAGTCTAACTAAGTCGACTTATTAACCAACGTCTGCTCTTTCCCTCTGAGTGAGGAGATGTTCCAATTTTTGACTGTGTACTCCCGCTGTCGGTATCATTCGCGTGGAGCCTACTCTGACATGCTATAATAACATCGCGCTCTCTACCTCCTAATATTAGACCTTGTAGAGGCTCAGTTGCTCCTTGGAATCTTCGGCATCCACCGCCGTATTGCTACGCACCCAGCCGCCAGAACTGGAGAACCAGGATCTGATCTTCGATCTTTCTCAGTTTTCTCAGTTCAGCAACAGCCTGCTCTAACCTTCATAGCCTGGATGACGACCGGGTCAGTATAATGCTCGATAACGGCAGTACCATGAAAATCAGGTGGCTAAGTTTATCGGGAGAGCTTGCCATAGACCTGAACCCTCCCGGTGTTTTACCTGGGTTTTGGACCTGCAACGACAGAGTTAATGATGTATTTAAATCTAATCTGTGTGCGCATTCTGTAAATAAAACTATCAGGTGACTATTCAAACAGGTTAATATACTACTGTAGACACGTGGGCAATAGTTATGATCGGTGTATGAGGTGAATTAAATCTGACTTGCGCAAGATTAATGCTATGTAACGGTTAGCGAAATTTAATTCTTCCATTAATTAGTTAATTCTGTGCACTTTGATCAGTTGAGAACCAGCCCGAGAAATGCAGACCATGACGGTATCTCTTTTGACCGTATCTCTTTAACTGTAAGATTATAAGCAGGCTGGTCGTCTATGGACGAGACCGAGCATCGGGCATATCACAGCACTGTTGTTCGCGTACTGTATGCAGGAGTATCGCTTCTGTGTGCGGAGACTGCTTGTGTGAAAGGTAAACAGAATTGATGATAATGCTGTTACTGCGAATGACTGATTGTTCTTTGCCCACCACTGTAAGCTGTGTTCTGTGGGAGAACTCTTCAGCCGGCCATTGCACTATGGAGGGATTAAGTCTAAGAGAGGATCGTTCGTTGAATAGGTCTGCTCTTGGTATGCAGTTAGTTGTAGTCGAGCAGAAGGCAGCGTATGAAACAACTCGTTTGGTCGAGTTTCCGCCTCGCAAGGTGAACAAGAGTGACGAAAGGGTCGAAAGTGCACCAATTAAATTTGTAACCGAGTCGCCAATGGTGTTCAACGACAGAGTGGGCATTCTATACGAAGAGCAATGGCAACATTTCTAGTGCCTTCAGTAGCGACGTTGAGTTGGCGATGGGACGGAAGTCGTTTG